CAGAGACCCCCAACACATTTCTTTTTGGAAACTAAAAACATGTTTTGATCTAACAATCTTCCGTAGAAAAAATCTTCCTCAAACCAGAAGTTAGTTCTTGAAACACAAAGTAAAATCCAATAACAATGGTGGAATAAAATGAAGAAGAAGAAGATTAAGATCTACAACACCAAAACCAACACACTCACAACAACCAACACCTCAACCGCGCAAGATAGCAACCAAGCTCTTGTCCACCATTTTTGAGCTTAATGCCCTTCGTCTCTACCTTCTTACCCGAGTCATCAACCTTCACATTACCCTTCAAATCCAACTTATGTCTTTTGGTCTTCCAAGATATGACCTTGAACCTCACCGTCGTGGCCAAATCTACCCGGAAAACCGCCACTGACCCATTCGAAACCCCCTGAAAACCTCATCCCACGGCACTCCTCGAGCATCCACCAGATCTTTCCGGTGAGTGTACTTTTTGTGGCCCTGGTGAAACCCAGACACCGTGTAATTCGCAATCGGAAGACTAATATTTGGACCATAATAGAAGGTGAGGTTGATTGCGTCGTAGTAAACTCCCTTGTCTATATTCTGGTTCTCGAGCTTGAGGTCGAAGAATATGGAGTGGTTTGAGGTGGAATTCAAGGTTTTGTTGAGGGCAGAGACGTAAAAGTCTTGGATTGAGCAAACAGGTTTTGAAGTGTGGAGGCTTAGCCACAAGAAGAGAGTTGTTAGACCAGAAGTCAGCAAGAAGCTGAAACAGCACCGGCAAACACCAGCGCCGCCGTAGTCCGACATGTTCGACGGAAAACGGTTTCTGCTGAGTTGAGTTAAGGTGGCCAAAGGTGGTTTTCACAATAATAAAGGATGGGAAAGGACAAGACGAAGAGACATTGATTGAACGGAATAACAGTATAATACCAATACGGATTTGGAGAGTAAATTACAAAATTAACACTAGACTTATATAACTTGTTTTAATTAAGCCCCTAAATTTAATTTGTCTCCAATTAATTACCCAAGATTTGGGATTTGATTCCCACCCAGAAATCAAATACCCGTCTCACAGCCTTGAACTAGATTCATCCCACTATCAATAATCATATATCATTCGCGTGCTTTTTGGTGTGCTCTATTTGTGTACGTGTGCATGAGAAAAAAGAGAGAAATTCAGAGATTGACGAGGATGCAGAGGATGGCATAAAAGATTGACGGGAAAAGAGAGGATGATAAGAGGTGTCGGTGGTGCGAGGTGGGTATGTTAGGGTTTGGTCCATAGGGATTGGATTTGAAGAGGGGTGAGTTTTGAGCTAGAAAATGATTGGATTTGAGTAATTGTCATTTTTTATTACTTGACAAAAATATCCCTTCAGATCAATTACGTGTCATCTCTTGTGCCTGGTCGATAAACATCTAAAGGAATTGAACATATGGCTTAAATTGAATCAAATTCAAAAGTTTAAGAGCTTAATTGAAACAAATTAAAATTTAGGGACAAAACCAATACAAGATGTAGGCTCATAGGCTATTTTGGTAATTTACTAAAAAAAAATGGATTTCTCTATTGTGTCCTATAATCCCTTAAAAAAGACTAGTATTTAGCCTTGGCTTTTTGCTTATGGGAAACTACTTGGCTACGTGGCTGGGCACCCATGTTAGCTCAATGAGTCTTTGTTGACTTGGAATAATAATTATGTGACTGAGTGTGTACGATAAACAAAACCCTAATGTCGATTTGGAGGAATACTTATTTAATAAATTGATTTAGTAATGTGTTGGTTCAACTTTTGAATTATTTTGGTTCAAATCCCATCAATCACTAGTTTTTTTTTTCTCCCGCATTAGCTGTATCTAAAATAAAATTAATACTTTTATTTCATATTATATAATATAATAATATTTAAAATAGTGCAACTTAACTCGTTTAATTCACTCATTTATCAAACCTTAATCCATTAACTCGATTTCGTGTCATAAAATATTTAACTCTGGACGAGGTTGAAAAGCTCAAATCTATTCCAACCGGAGAATAGATAGGTAATTTTACATATTCATCAAAGAGTACTATTAAATTAATGAAATTAATGTTAGTGTGATGAAAATGGTATTTAAATTAATGAAATTAAACGTCAATTTGATTACTAAAATTGAAGAGTCAACTTGATGGTAAATTTAATATTTCACTACAAAAAAAGCCATGACATGAGTTATTTTGTTACATGCCAGTAGTAACAGCGGTGATTGAATGAGTATTAGGTGGAACTCATAATAAACTACAAAGGCAAGCAGTAATATTTCAAAAATTATACGGGTCGTCTAGGGATGAAAATAGATCGAAGTGGGGGCGAGTGGTGTAATCTCTATTCCTGTACCCACTTAAAAAAATTTCGTTCATCTCCAGTCCATCCCCGTTGACGAATATAATTTTTATCCCTAATCCTATCCACGGGTATATTTGTAATCCCCACTCCCACCCCCGTCCACCTTACCCACTTAAGTCTAAGCTCAAGTCAAAGTTCAAGTCAACATAATCTAAAATTTTAAATAAATATAATATTCTAAATAATCTAACATAATTATACAATATCATAAAATAATTAAAAATTTATCATTTACAACATAATATAATTAAAATCTTGTTTACAACATAATATAATTAAAAGTTTGTCTCATTTGTAAATCTAATACAATATCATACAACACAACATAATCTAACATAATATAATTCAACATAAAAAAATATAAAAACAAAAATATTTATATTTTTACAAGCCAAAATTATGAAAAAAAAATCAAAAAACAAAACTATTTTCAAAAGAAAAAATTATTTAATAATATTTAGACTTGTATTCACAACATATATATATATATAAATAATAATAATAATAATAATAATAACAGATAAAGGGGGCTGGAAAGGGAGGGCAAGGGAAGAGTGGAGGTGGGGAAAAGTGTTAGTTTATTCCCGTGAAGATTTGTACAGATAATTTTATATACGTCAACCGTCTAATATATATATAATTTATCTCTAATTCAAACGAAACGAGTTTAGACGAATACACATTTTTATTCTATTCATTGTCATCTTTGAGGTGTCTTGACAATTAGGTCAATTTCAAGAAAGTGTCACCGAAATTTACGCTAGTAACTTAGAATAACAAATAAATCACTTGCCAAAAAACGTCTTTAAGTACTCAATCAGCCAAGTTGCAACTCACAATTGCATTACACCTTCCTCGCTTTTTGGATTCCCCAAGCCGTACTCAAAGGAGTCCCTACAGCAGCACCTACCACCCAAAAGCTGCACCCCTATTCCCTCTAAATCACTGTTGGTGACTGAGATATTTTTCAGTACATTTTCTCTTTAATGTTTTTCTTACTACGTTATTCATGAATAAAGTATTAATAAGAGAATTGCGGAGAAATTATATTACAGGATTAGATCACACCAACGGTGGACTAGCCTATCCTCCACCCCTCACCCAACAATCCAAGCCACTCCCCCTTGCAACCCCCCCCCCCCCCCAAATCCACCCCCATCCAATACCATGTAACTATTACTCAAAACCCCAGAAAATTAAAAGTACTAATAACCCTAAAAATTATATTTTTTAATAGACATAAACATCAAATAATATTGCTATGCTGTCAATTTTTAGAGTAATGTTATTGTACCTACCACCAACAAATAAGTAAGGCTCAAAAATATTAAATGGGTGTGGGTAAAACATGGTATAAAAATTTTAAAAATAAATCAACATCTCTACTTGTCAAAATGTAAAAAAAACTTATAAAGACTTACCTATAAGATGAAACATTAACCCATATAAATCAGACGTGTTTTCACCGTAATCTTGAACTACATTCATTTTTAGTCGTAAAGCACATTCCATAATGCACTCACCCTTTCAAAGTTTAGAATAAATATAGAATAGGTTTCGGATAAGTTTGAGAGTCACTAATAAAAGTCAAACACAAAATCATTGAACTAACGGTTCGACACAAAGACTATATATCCACACCACAAGACTACCATGCATGCGTGTTACTTCCAAATTCCTTACTTGCATAGTTTTCCTACTTTTTCAAAAATAAATAATTAACCAACCTCAATCTACATCACCTACATTATATATATATATATATATATATATATACAAACCCCACATTAACTTAAAGTCATTCCAAGGCAGTGTATATATATATAAGCCATGTCTATGTTTATCTGAGAAACCTGCGCAGCCCTATTTTGCTGCCTGTATGCTTAACATCCTCCTGAACTTGCTGTCTGTACTCTTCAAAGGTAAATTCCTTGTAGATTGAATGTTTTTCACTGTAACTCTTAATGAGTGTGTCATAGGAAGGACAGAAAAAATATGCCACAGACAACCTTTCAACCTCTGGATTGGTTACAACCCTGTGTTCTATGCTCTTGTAAACACCATTGCACCAAGCCTGCATTGAGAGTTGTACATATTTTGGCATAATAAACAATATTAACTTTTGCCATATAATGCATGATGATGTAATGTCGTAAACCCATATTATTCAATATTGTCTGTTTTGGTTTAAGTTCACACCGCTCTAAGCACGTTTCACTATGGAGGTTCAACACTCAAACTTATCAAGCATTTTCATGCACTTTACAAACCGATGTGAGAATAAATAACCACAAGTGATATACACAGGATGTGAGTTTTTCTCAAAAGTTATAACTACCAGGGTTTGTGCAAAATCACTAGAGCATAGATGTCATTTTATGTGAGAGACATACTGGTATGTTTTTGGGTTATAAAATTCTTTTGCAAAACGAGCAATACTATAGAGACCTAAGTTCAGAACCTAATTCAATATAACTATTGAATTAGTTGTTTTTCGTTGGTCAACAACAAACAAAAATTCTCTATAGTTTTTCACTACTCCTACAGGAAAGAGTCTCTTTCTGTCATGAGGGAATCATTTTTTCTCAATCAAGAGTGTCTCAATTGGATAAATTCACTTATTTCACACAATTTTTCTGGTCATGCTTTTTTCTTTACAACGAAGCTTACTTTCAGTCCAACAGTGTAATTGATTATATTCCTAAATTTGGTGCAAATAATATTTTCCTTGTAAAATACAGGTTAGGAGAGTTGGAAATGGATGATGGATATATGGAAGTTACCTGGAATAGATCGCCTATGTTGATGATCAAAGCATCTGGCGTAGGTTTAACACTAATCCACTCTCCATCTCTCATCAGCTGCAATCCTCCAATGTGATCTTGATACAATATGGTGAGGAAATCACTATCAGTATGTGGCACAAAACCAAACACTTTAGAAGATATAGGGCATTGGGGGTATCTGTTCATCCTTAGATAGCAAGAACTTGGCTTGCAATTTTCTACAAAAAAAGTAGTGGATTTACAGCCAAGATGCTCGGCTAATGTTTCGGATATGTTTTGAGCCAGATCAAACACCAGTCTTGCATATTCCTCAATAGGAGAGCTGCAAATTAAGTAAATAAAGATCTGAAATATATTAGAACTAATCTGTTAATTATACAAACAAAAGTAATTAAAGGAAACCCTAGTGAATAGAATCAACAAAAATTGTTTCTAACAAGGTTTTCTATTAACATAATCATTATAGAGGAGGAGTTGCAACCAACATAGTCAACTACTTGTTAAGATATATAAATTCTCAAATTTTTCATCATGCCCTAAACAAGAAAATTTTGTCTTAAAATTCTCTCTAGGGGAGGTAATATCCGTAGCAAGTGTAAGTTATCGGTTATGAAACTTACTGTTACGATCACACATATGTCAAATATAAGATTAGACGTTGTGTATTATGAGTTTTTAAGGCATTCTTCCATTGCAAATCAGTTTTCAATGTCCAGTTTTACCCATGAGTACTGCATAAAACTTTAACAAGTATCAAAATGAATGCCTACACTTGATAAGATCAAGTGTGAACCTAAAGGCTGTGTAAACTATTAGGGCTAAGTAATATTGGTTTCAAAGGGAATCTGCATGAAAAAAACCTAGAAGACTTTGTCCTTTGTGTATACCTAAAACTGGTGAACTCCCTTAATCCTTTCATGTTAGTAAGAGGAAAATGAAAAGCTTCAGACCATGAGAACTGCATCAAAGAAGTAGCAGTTGGGCTTCCCCAACTGTAACAGTTCTTGGCTAAGTTGAAAACATTCTCATTAGCCTTCTTGTAGAATGGTTGCTTGAACAATTTCACTTGTTCCAGTTTCATTCTCGCCAAAATATCTGTAGAAATTCCATGATTCACAACTTGAAAGAACCCCCACCGGCTTGCAGCATCAGCAATGGCTTTCTTACAGTCTTCTCGGTCGAAGTTGCCTAGACTTAACCCACTGAGATCAACAAGAGGAAGCTCGTATTCATCAACAGAAAACATGTTCTCATGCACCCTTTTTGTTCTTTCTTCTTCCACCATGTCCCCAAAAAGGGCCTTGTAGGTCTTTAGAAATGGTGGTTCTGAATCTTCTAATTCCATGGTTAAAGGCCAAAAGAGAAGGAAGAAAAACACATAGGTCTTTTGGTGGATTGGTGGTTGTGATATTAGAAAGCAAGAAGATCAGATAAGATAATTTGAAGTGTAGAGGATAAAGAGGTCACTGTCCATGTTGTGCGGACCATAGAAACTTTAGCTTCCTCATCAAGAGGATATTTTTTCTCCTCTTTTATTGTCTAAAGGTTTGAATTTCAACCCACAAATTGCAACAAATTTTATAGTAGTTCTCAAAAAAGTTTCACATGTCTCGTGTCTCAAAAAGTTCTCAAAAAAATTTATTGTATCATGTCTATTTAATGGACCTGAATCATCACGACATAATTTATTTATTTTTTTTGATTTTTTTTTTGGAAGGAGAACTTAAACCCTTGATTTTAAAAAGACAAAACTTTTACAAGATAAAAAATACTATTAAATTAAATGTCCATTAATATCATGACATAATTAATCAGACGCCATTACTATATATGAAGTACTTAAACTTTATTATATGACTAAAATAGACCATTCATAGCCAAATTATGAAGATAAACAAAAAGTTAGTCCAAATGAAAGTTTTCTTTTTTTTTTTTCGAAAAATGATTAAAAAAAAAACAGAAAAATATAGTTATGATCAGCATCTTTTGTTTTTACAATTATGTTCTATGATCTCTTCACTTGGCTATGGGCTGTGACCTGGTGCGGTAGTGTTAAAATGAAGCCCTCAATCGTCAATCAACCCTCCCTATATTTGTACATTGAGCATGTCAACATAACTGCATTTTTGTTTGATTTGGTTGTAATCAATCCGAATTATTTATATATTTTATATAAATAGTAAAGAAATTAAGTAATTATTTTAAAAAAAATTAGTTAAAATTTAAGTATAATTTGTTAAAATTTAGTTAATTAAGTTATTTGAATCGAATTTTGAATTATTAACAGATTCGAACATAAATCATACATAATAAAATTCGTCAAATTATCAATTTTTTTTTTAAATTCACATTCGAATAAGTTAAAATTTAATTTAATCTTATTTTTTTTTCAAATCCAAAAAATGTTTTAAAGCAAAGTCTGGAAAGGAAGATGGTGATGCCACTCATGTCGATATGATAGTTTTCGTGGACAAAGTCTTACAGAGAGAGAGAGAGAGAGAGAGAGAGAGTCTTTGCCGACTCTAATTCTACTCCACAACTTAATTTGTCAAGAACAATTAGTAAAAAAGTTGCGCGTATTCGAATTTCATCGTCAATCTCGCACAATCTATTTAGGTATTAGACAATTTGTTCATTCGCCTATGAGTTAATGACGCTCTATCTCAGTCGGTGTGCACTGCACACCCCGTCCTACACCGAAGAAAAAAAATTAGAATCGAAACTAGGTCCAATAGAAGTAAAGGATTATAAACTATGGCTAAAAAATGGAAAGAATAAAACCACTATCAATTGGCCACACACCATTCATGGAGATTAAATTCAATGAAATAAGGTTTATTACGTTATTATAGTGATATGGTATATTCGATCTTCAAGCAAAAGATACTTGAAAAAAGTGAGATCCGATCTCTTCTTTCTTGAGAAAGTGTGGTCCAATTTACAAACTAAGTTAGCTCAAGTTGATTGAGTCACCAAATAGCTGAACTAAATAGTCAGTTATAAGAGAATCAATGCAGCCATCTAATTCTATAGGTGCGGGCCAAAGGTAGTCGCCTACTACTGTTTAAAATTTGTCTTCAACTTGACAGCAGATGAATTCCAATGGACGTGGGGTTTACATATGGTACTGGGAATAAATGAGCATTCTTTCTTGTCCATTTTTGTTTTGGCTTTTATAGCTATCTACCAATGTTAAAAAAGAACACAAGAAAACAAATAATCAAAGGTTCAAAAAATTCTTGTTCAAAAATACTTACTTTGAAGGAGTGGAAGACAATTTATCAATCAACCTGAACCTCTCGCACAATCGATGTGAGATTTCAGTTTATTTTTTTTTAGGTCAAGAGTGTCTGGTCTAGCTTCCGCACATTTCGACTTATTCCCTCTCTGATCCAGTTAAAAACAAGTCATCCACACAAAGACTAAGGGTATTCATGAGGAATAATGGATTGACCCTAAGAGATTAATAATATTCAAACTCAAGACTTTTAAATTTACAGTTCGTCTTTGTAATCACTTGAACTACTATTGAATTTTTTTTTAATGAACACACAAGAGGAAAAACGTACATATTTTGAACATATTTCACCTAATATCATCCTGCAATCGCAAGAACTAAAGAAGATCAACAAGCTCAAGTTCAAGCATCATCTCTAAAACAATCCAACGTTTGGAAAAATGGATGAGATCTTATCAATTAAACTGAATCTTTTGACGCGATTGACATGAGATTTTAGTTCATCTTTTTTTTTTATGAACACAAACCGAATTTGAATTTAAACTCGTATTGTTGGGATGACGTATTCGGTTTTTACTGTTTAAAATCTGTCTTCATCTACAAATCAAATTAATTGGAATGGACTTGGGGTTCTTTCTTGTCTGTTTTTTAGCTTGAATATCGCTACCTACCAATGTTACCAACTCCATTGTGGTGTGGGTTAGAGCATCATGAATGTTATTCACACAAGAGTACCGGAGCTGTAGACTTTTTGGTCACCAACGATTACGAACCTTCCGACACTATTGATATAGATGCTGGTACTAATCTGTCGTCGTACTGCAGAAATAGTGTCGGCAGCCAAAGGGGAAGTGCCACGTGATTATTATTATGTGACTACATTATCTACGGCCATGAGCCATGTGTGCTTGCCCCTACCTGTTTTGACTCTTCCAACTCTTCATTCATGCAAACGTTAACCGGTTGACCTCTTTGTGGACTGTGGAGTGGAGCATAGCAATGGTGGTGTCTTTTTGTTGTTTTCTTCATGCTGGTACCAAAACAAAATTTATTATTTTTAAAGATTAAATTCACTTGTTTAAAGGTAAAATGGTAACTAATTGAGGTGATTCTTCATTGATTATTAAATGTTATAATTTGATCTTTAAAATTATTATTTTTTTATAATCGATTACAATATTTTATGATTAATCCTAATTTTTTGAATCGTAACTTAAATGATTTTGAATTATAATTTCACTTCCAAGCCCATAGTGAGTTTTGGAGTAGATCATCAATGTAGCTCAATCGAGCCCAAATCTTCTCAGAAGATGATTTTTTTTTTTTTTTTTTGTTGAGAAAGAAAAAAAGGTGGGGGACAATAAAGCGTACCCAGCGACCACCCCGATAAACCCTCACCGGTGGGATCATAAGGCCCTAACTGCGCCTGAAACACCTCTCGAAACCAACTAAGCTAACGTAACGGTCAACCACCAAGTCCCAATGAAGACTCCAAGTCTCCAACTCCTAACCTCAAGATAAGGAGTAAGGCCGGTACCCCACTAGACCACCCTATTTGGTTGATTTGATATTCAACGCACTCCTGTGGGACTGCTACAGGCTCCCTCACTCAAATACCACATATCAGCACCCCGGCCCATAGCTACCATGGTATATAAGCCGCACTTGGACATGCACCCGAAGAACCGGAGTATGTATAAGCAAAACTTCATTCATACTGGTTCACAAGAGCAATTCAAAAATTTAGGTTCCTGAAAAAGGCACTTATCACAAAGTTTCCTAAAGAATGCTTCGTCTAGAAAACAAGAAAAACCATAACAATCTACCACTACACAGAAGTTGTGAAGGGAAAAGGGGAAGGGGGTGGGGGAGTAGCGTCAACAACAAATACATGGAAATCATAGATTATGTATAGATGATATCGAGAGTCAAGGTAATAGGCTACTCATCATCTTTGTAAGGGTACTCCTCAGGGACTTGCTTTAGAAGTTTCACCTGCAACTCAAATGCATCATCCCCTCTTAACATATCACGGACCCATGTGACTTCGGTCTTCATGGAAACCTGAAATTAGAAAGGACAGATTGCAGATGTAGTCTGGAGTAACAGCACTCCTTAGGCACAATCACAATGCTACGTACTTTCAACCTTCATTAGTGATGGTACTCAAGGGTGAGTATCAAATGTTTGGACAATCCAATTACGCTCAAGACATGCAATTTAATGCCCCCAATAACATTGTTAAAAGTATTTCGATTTAGAAGTTCTTTTTTATAATGTGTTTTACGAGAGCTTACTAGTGGCCAATGGATCAGCACCATTACTTTAAAAACCTAACTGTTCGAATAATCATTCTAATGCAAGCACAGGGACGAAATAAAATTCAAACTCCGGAAATTAGACCGTAATAAACAATTTAGCTCATAAATTATCTAAAATTTGCAGTCTTTGCCCAGCTCTGGCATTGATGAGTACTTGAGGCTTTTTGGTTTTGCCTTAAATTGCCTCTTGGAATATGCTTGGCACAACATACAACCTTTGAAAACACTTTTGGTGTAAATAATTTTGGCTAAGACCTTATTTCACTCATTATCTTACACCTTTACTTATTTCGAATAAGACAACCAAGGGAGGCTTTGATTATCACCTATCAATAGGTCAGGTATCCTCTTCAATACTAATAATTTTCCAACCAATACAACGTTCAGTCCTATTAGGTATGTATATGCGCATTATCTAACATTGGTCCTTGTTAATAGGAAGTGTTGGCAGGGAAAATTGGGCAAATATCTACTCTCAACTTTAGACAAACAGAATGGCTGCCATCACACTCAAGTCCCTATACAAGAAATATGCAATGCAACCAACTTGCCTCCAAAATTTTCAATTTCTGTTTCTTGGTTTTTTATTTTATTTTCACCTCCTTTTATGTAAGTATGCACATCCATAATATGATGAAATGCCTCAATAGTAAATTACCATTTTCAAGAATTTAAGCCAAACAACTGAAAATTCTCATATAAACTACTTTGCAATGAAAACATTTTCAGACAAAACCATTTTTCCCAGAAGAAGTATAGCAAAAACAAAGAGGCAAATGAGGCAGAGGGAGGAGGGAAGCATGAAACTGTTTTCCCTTATTTGATAAAAAAATGATGATGACATTCATCACATTTTTCTCTTTAACTTCAGTTGGTAACACTAGTAACCTAGAAGCAAAGACGACAATAGTTGTGCATACGAGATTCTAGTGACACCTCATTTACATCACCAAAAAATGAAGGTTGAAAGATTTGCAGGAGAGACTCAACCAGTTATTTTTACTACTGACAGAGCCAACTCCCTCATAGGTAACACAGTCTCTACTTGAAGAAGAAGGGACCGAATTCATCAGAGAAGTAAGCTTGAAGCATGGGTAGTTTGTTACAGGGAATCCAGGCTCAGACAGACTGGGAGACTCATCAGAAATGACCAACAAGTAGGCTTCTATGGAAGGGTAAACAATACAACAAGTATCCTACAGAACCTTGGCCATCTATAGAGGACTAGAACTCATCCAAGGAAGAAGGATCATGCAGGTAGCTGTGGAGACTGACTCACTGGAAGCTTTCAATCTTCTCTACAGCAATCTGGAAGAAGATCACCCAAACAGGGGTATAATTGCTAACTGTAAATACCTAAGGGGAGCAAACCACATCCCCATCATTTTCAACCTCCATTAAGGACACAAGTGTGCAGACTGACTGGAAAGTCTTGGTGAACAAAAACAGGAGAACTTTGTGGAGCTGGAGACACCCCCAACTCAAATTGGGAACTTGCCCAACACAGACTTAGCTGACATCTCTTTTGTTAGAGAGTCAGTATGACTCTAGTTTAACTTTTTCTTTTTGGGGAGAAAAAAAAAAAAGCGTAGTTCGTTTGTAGGTGAAGTGTTGGATACTTGGATGATGTACAAATGTGAATCATAATATAAAAAAAAATGCACTTCACAGATTTTATTTTATAAGTCACCAAGAACAAAAGCTGATTCTCAACCATGTGCATGTGCCAAAAGGCCAAATTCATGTCATCAAGTAGTATACTGAAATGCCTTGTCCAACAAGATACTTTTAAATGAAGTGTCTATCGAAATGATAAAAGAGGAGAAATCTCACCATCTCTAGGGCTCCTCTGATAACTCCACTTAGGATGTTGCAATAGTACAGACCTTGGCAAGTATCAGGAAGCTCAACAAAGTCTACTAGTGGGTTATCCTCCAAAATAAGACTGCAACATGTTCCATCAGCATCCCAATTGGTCACAGATGCAGTGACCCCTAAGAACATTTTTAACCCAACCTGTTACAAATATTGCCAGACTCAATGAATAAACCAAGTACTTCGTATGGAGACTTACAGTACTCTGATAAAAATTCCATTCTAAAAAAGTGTGGAATGTATGATGTACTTTTATGGGTTCATCCAAGTAATATGAAGACGATACCAAGAGAAAACCATTTTAGTGCACGCCTAAACAGACTAGGACATATATTCTTCCAATCAATCCAATGAACCTACATCTAACCCTTTCAGACTTAACAAAAATTGCTTTCATAACTGAATTGTTGATCCAATGCGCCAAAAAAACAACCATAGAAAGAAAGACAAAAGGAGAAAGAGATACAGTTTGTCAGACATCATTAAAGCGGGCACCTGCATCCACCCTTATCCTACATTCAAGTGGATGCTTACACCAGTAAAACTTCAAGAAGACAAAATATAGTAAACAAAATAAATGGGCAGAAGTCCAAGCATGTTTTACATCTTTATCAACACCTTTAACATTATTACAGCACTCTCCTTGGTTATTCGAGCCCCATAAATCTTCCTGTGACAGTCAACACTCACTGAATGACAACTGAAAAAACTATTGGAAGCAAATAAACCAAGTGGGTAGAGTGATGCAGAACTGGATCAGCAACAATTTCAACAAAGGACAGGTCAGTAACATGTAGCAGCAAAATATCTAGTTAAATAATGGCCTCAGTTAGACACTGTTAGGGACAATCCAGTAGGATATAAACCTTGTTACAATATAACCTTTTGTTTTCTAGACTAACAAATGATGGATGACACCAAAATCCCAATTCTTGTATAGGGACCATGAATTATGTTTATTTTCTTTCTCAATTTCTTGTATTTAATTTTCCATGTACTTTGCTATCCACATTGTCTAGTAATTCATTTTTGCAAGAATGCCAATGATGTTTGCACCACTAGAAAAATGGCAAGACTATGAAGACTTCAATCATTACATGTGCAAAGTACTAGCCAATGCACAACAAGCCATCCCACTTACAAATACATCAAGGCAAAAAAAAAAAAAAATGGCCAATCATAAAAAGCATGTGCACGGCGAGGATACTTAGAGTGTGTTCGGTTGGGTGGATGGAAAAATAGAAGATGAAAAGTAGGAGTGACTTTTTATGCTAGGGAGAAATTCTTACTTCAATCTTTTATGTTTGATATAAGAGATGAAAAGAAGAAAAAATTAATGTTTTTGTGTTTAGTAGGATGGAAAAAACATAGATGCATAGTTTACAATTGTATCAATATATAAAATTAATATGCACGTAATATGTAATAAATAGGATATATGCATGTACTAAAGGATATAAAGATAAATAACATACATTTTAATACACATAATTAACTTGTCATCCACTTTTCTCCCTTTTGGAGGGATATATTTTAGTTAGTTGAGAAAAAAGCTAATCCATTAACTTTTTCATCCTTACTATTTTTCTTCCTTATCAAATATGATGTTTTATCCATCCTTCTACTTTTCCATCTTCTCAACTTTTCATCATTCTATTTTTCATCATACCAAACAAAGCATTAGTTATTGCCTAAGATTTGCACATAAACCCCATCTTGACATCATTTTGGGTCGGTATAAGACTATAGGTCTCTAACAAAAGTATTATTTGACATGTACCAGACATGCAGTGTCCGACAAAGGTAAAACATAAACCCAATGCTAGTTCAGAAAGTTCCCAGAGAGACACTCATAAAGTTGTCCTCCATCATGCAGATGACCAATGTCTACATGCCCTAAGATTTGAGAAGTTAACAAATTGGACATTTAGACAGAAAACAATTAGTCAAGGTGGGATGGAACTAATTAGGAGCACTGCTAAACCTTTTATTCATACAATGTAGTCCATTTTTCATTTAGTTTACAAAACGAAGAGCTAATAACAAACATGAACCAATAATGAACTGGAGTTATTGGTAAGAACTAACAACTTGGCCTTTAAACAGCTGACCTTTTCAAAGTTGCCAAAAACGTTCACTAAAGAATTCAGGTAAGTCATGTAAAAGGAATCCAAAGAGTTGAAATAGATATTAACAAAAGCAAAAGTCACAAGTATTCTAGTAGTATACCTTCGCAATAACTTCAGCAGTTTCTCTGAAGTCAACACAACTAGAGACATTGGATTTTGCAAGGAATTCATCAATTAGCCGAATTCCGATATTATAACCCCTACAGTAGTTAGACTCATATGTACATAATCATTAAACTAAAATGAAAAAAGTTATAGAGAAATTCTGAATAAGAAAAATTGTACAAACATCACAGAACACGCATTCATACTGAAAGAGAAAAGGGAGAGTAGAAAAATTACATCTGATCAAGCTGTTTATTAACTTCCTCAACCTCCTCCAAATCTGTAAGCAATTGACGCACGATCGCACCATACGTTAAAGTGAAAAGCTCGGCATTCTGTCAAAGATTCAATTGCACAAACTCCACATCAGATATATGATTACTTGAAGCTACACAGTTCATCCAATAACCTACTTGATTGCCAGGAATTTACAAAAATAAAAACCAAATTGTTCTGTGGAATCAAACAGAAAGGAGGGCGATTCAAATCGGTAAATCGTAGTGCATATACGCGTATAAGTGTGTGGTTTTGTAACTTACGACACGCTCAACGTTGGCAAAAATGGCATCACCAGATCTGGGAGCTACAGGAGCCATGAAAGTCCTCTGATCTTCTCACACAGTGATCGTTTGATTACTTCGACGATGAACTTCTGCTACTCTGGAGAGTACTTCTTGTAATGGAGGTGTGACATTAGGAGTCGGGTCAAGTATCATAGGCTACCCAGACTAATTTCGGAATTCGGAATTCGGCATTGACCGGTTTATTGGATCCTGAACCACCCAACTATTGTGCTTTTGGATTTCTTTTCGAGTGTCATTAGAAGAAACCTCAACTTATATTAAGGATAAATTATATTTTGACGCCCCCTAATTAAGCCATTGTCTCTCATAACTCCATTTACCACAAAGATTTATCAAGTCACCTTCAGCTATGATTTGGAGAAATTTAGAACGACTTTTCCCATTTTTTGTCAATTTAGAGTTAGTTATCCTTATCATCCCTAGGAGTGTTTATGGGCGGGATCGGACTAAGTTGCGAAATTTTTTTTTGAGATTAAGTCTGAATATGATATGCCTAAACTTTTATTAGGATAAGTTATCAGGTAGGCCAAGTCGTGCCTCGGGTAAGAATAGACTATCCGTAACCCAACTCGTCATTGAGTAGGTGGGACTTGTGGTTTGTCCTTTTATATATATAATATATATATAATTTTATTTAAAAAAAATCAACTTAATATTTTTAAATTAAAAGTAAATAGGGAAAAATTTTATTTATAAGTGGAGAAAAAAATATATTATAATAAAATGAGTACATCTCAACTAGGCTCATATATTGCCATAAATGATAAGACTTGCTTATTTGTAAATATAAAAATGATTTGCATTCATTATTCTACATTCCTCTTTCTAGTTGTTGATGTTTGATATTAGTTTGACTTTTTATTATTCATGTAAGTAGATCGTATCGTTTCTAAGTTCATCTCAGTAACTAATTAGTCTCAATCTAATAATTTTATCTCATATTAAGATAACATTCAAATTTGTCACTTGTATTTAGAACCGACTTAATCACTAAACTAGTTAAAAAATTGTTCACCTCCACTTAAAAAGGGCCCCAAATGCATTAAAATTTATCAAATATTACACTTCAAGCATGGAGTTATTACTAGTGTATAGAAAATAATGCTCTTATGTTGGTGACAAATTAGTGCACATTATTGTCGGTAATTTTTTTTTTTTAATATTAAAGATCAATCTTTTGCCACTATAAATTGTTTAAATTTATGTTTATACACTTGTATCTCTATCTATATTATTATAGTAATTTTTTTTTTTTTGGAGGAGGCTTGAAAAATATTCCTCCCACATCTTAGAAATTCTAAATTATGTATTAATGCAAATTAAATTTTTATCCAATTGACACACAACATGTGTCATAATTGTCCTTAATTATACGTTACACTAGTTTAATTGACTCTTATTTTATTCCTAACTACAAATTCAGAATTTAAATTCTAAGCTAAACTAGCAACTTCTAAAAATTATCACTTTCAATATAATTTATATTTGGGAAAATTTCATCAACCTAGTTAGGCATAAATTCAAAGACACCCCTCCCCATTCTGAATCTTCATTGCACTCCATTTTAGTTTACACTGTTAAATCAAAGACACCCCTTATTGTAACCGACCGTTATTGACAATCAAAAAAGTGTTGATGTCATACCAAAATTTTTATGAAATACCAATTTTGCCCTTCTTATTCCACATGAAACCCTTGTGTGTGTCTCTCTCTCTCATGTCTCATCAACTCAATCACCTAACTGTAAAAACATAATACAAGGAAAAAATTTAAAATAATTTAAAAAAAAAAATTGGTAACACCGTACGTTTAAAAATAATACAAGAATTTTTTTTTAAAAAATCGATAACACTGTACATTTAAACATAATATAAGGAAAAAATTCAAAATAATTTTTAAAAAAAATCGGTAACACCGTACACTTAAACATAATACAAAAAAAATAAAATAATAATTTTTTTAGAATTTAAAAAAAAAAAAACTAGTGATATCGTACGTTTAAACATAATATAAAGAAAATTTTTAAAATAATTTAAAAAAAAAAAAAAAACTGTGACACCGTAAGCTTAAACATAATACAAGGAAAAAATTCAAAATAATTTTTTTTAAAAAAATCGGTAATACCGTGCGCTTAAACATAATACAAAGAAAAAATTTAAAATAATTTTTTTAGAAATTTAAAAAAAAAAAAACGGTGACACCGTACTCCTAATACAAAGAAAAAATTCAAAATAATTTTTTTTTTAAAAAATGGTGACACCGTACGCTTAAATATAATATAATAAAAAAAATTCAAAATAATTTTTTTTAAAAAAAATCGGTAACATCGTACATTTAAACATAATACAAGAAAAAAATATTTTAAAAAAAATTGATGACATCATACACTTAAACTATATAAATTTGTATATATAGTTTAATAGTACTGCACATAACACTTGGAAATAGGAATATATATTTATATATAGTTTAATGAAAAATAATTGGTGAATATGTAATTTTTATAAAATTCATGGGTAAAATGGTAAAATGTGTTTTTCCATCAAGTCCGTAGTAAACCAACACTGATAGAGGAGGTCAATGAAGTTTCAAAAAAGGCAAGAGGTGTCGTTGAAGATATGCCTACTTAGAGGGGTGTAGATGAAATTTTCCTTTTATATTTTGTCCTCCATTACTCATATATACGTACCAACATTTATTGCAGAGATAAAAAGGAACGCTATGAAATACTTTATTGTATGGGTGGATATCAAATAGCCTCCGCTACATATTTAGCATCACCTTCTAGGATAATACTTGTATATCCCAATTGTATACCCAGTTCCAATGCACAAAAGGCAGCCAAAGCCTCTACATTTCCAGCACTCGATGGACTTCTGACTATTCTGCTTAAACGATCAAGGAATTGTCCCTTCAGTCTTTGATCACCACTCGTATCCCCACAGTTCTGATTGAACTAAAAGTAGTCCCATCAAAGTTAATCTTGACGGCACCCATTGGAAGAGGAAACCAGCAGGATAACTCACCAAATGTTGGTAGAGAATCTGTTTGGTTTCTTCGGTCTTGAGTCTCTGAATACTAGTTCAGATAAGAGTTAGCGAAATCCATAATCTGAAAAGGGCATTGCACCTCCTGCTGTAACCGAGCCTTATTCCTATTAAACAAATGGACCTGTAGAGTACCACCACATAGCAGACCTCTTTTAATTTTCTTAGACTAATGTTAGCCATTGCTGAGAAGTTGTTGAAGAACCTGAAGGCAGGTGCAACGAGGAGTTGTGCTACACCTGCTTCGTATGTGGACACTTCACAAAAATGTGAGTAGTCTATTCCTGAGCCCCACCACAGAAATAACAACAATTATCCACTGAAATTCTCCTCTTAAAGAGATTACATTGAGTTGGTAAGATGTTTTGGATTACCTTCCAAACAAAAACCCTTAATTTTATTTGGGGATGTTCAAATTCCACACTAATGTACCACACCACTTGCCATTACTACTGTTTGAACCACCATCTAATATTTGGTCCAGAATTAAAATTAAGATTTCTTTGACTGGGGTTATAGAATTCCTTGTACCCAAACATCAACCAAAGGTTCTAGAGAGTTTTAGTAGCCAAACAAACACATCTCAGATCCTAATTCGGTGCCTGAGTGCGTGAGATGATGTATAATATATTTACTTTTAAAATTTTTTGGTGGATCATTCATCTACCATGTATTTAAGTAGATATCATTGTCTATCTATATCTATCTATACTACTTTAAAATATCAACATTTTTGAAAAACATTTCTTTTTCATTTTTATCCTTTAACAATGCAAATATGATATTTTTATCCTTCAAAATTAATTGCATATTCATCTACTTGAAGTTGATACACAAAACCTGTAAGGCCCTACAAATTCTAGAAACAAATCTAAGTTAAAGCCAATGCTTCGGTTTCCAAATTTTCATATTCCCCGTACTACTGGTTGCAATTTCATTTGGAAGTTTCATTGTCTTTCACTAGCATTTTTCTGTCACCGTAGCGACTACAATGAACACAATCGAAGTGCCCATCAATGGACGATTAATTGTGTTGATGTGAATTGGAAAAGACACATTCGGCAAGACAATGTGTGCTGGTGAGAATTGAAAGGAGAAGCTATTTCCACCACTTGTAGTGGCCACCTCTCATGTATCCTGGTGCATATGGTAGATCTACTTTCTTGCAGAATGGTGGGAGAATTGGTGTATTATGTATGTTTGAAGTTCCCTTAATAAACTTAAAAGGCAACAAAGACGCCAGTAAGATCCTCACTAATGATGCAGTTTGCCCCTTTTCTGATTGAGGTGCTCTCTAAAACATTAGTCGATTTTGAGGTGAGATTTGCAACTTTTGATTTGTTTTCTTGTCTCCTAATAGTTAAGCATCAAGACTAATGACATGAAATAAAGGGGTACTGAGAAACAAGAAAAGTAATTCCCATATGCATTATGAAAATTGTTTTGTAAAGCAAACAAATTATTTGCACGGACATGCACCAGATTCCCTTCTCCTGTTTTATGAGTTTTCTTATACTGCCTTACGCATTTCTGAGTTATCAATCTTGAGCACTTCACTAGACTCAATTGTTTGTACTATTTTACTGGTCTTAATTTCAGTTAATGTGGTCATTCATAGTATTTGACTACCTTTTAACTAAACGTGGTATTTAATTTTCAGTCTTAAGAAACTTGTGGATATCAATCCAAATGATGAAAGGATAATGTAAGCAAGCATCTCTGCTATTTCAAATGAAAACCACTTAATGCCTTGTGCTTTGAAAGACCTATTATGATTTTGCTACTCCTTCATCTTTGTAGCAGGTTTTTTTATATTTTTTTTCCACATGCTCTACTGCAGATGGCCATGGTGGGGATATCTCAAAATTTGTATCCTTTGTGATCTATAATATATATTTACATTCAACCCTAGTTTTCTACACAAATACATGTTGATATATATATCTTGTTAACATCCGCAATATTGATGTGATTCAGGTATTAAGTTGAAAAGAGGAAAAAATGATTAGGTATTTGGCTTTATATGATTTTTCTAAGAAATAAAAATAAGCTTCAATTTTTTTTTGTTGTTGCTGTTTC